GTATTGTAAAATAATTTTTTTATGTGTTTCACACCGTGTGAAAAATCAGTCGTGTAACATCGACGGTCGCTCCTGTTCGTAAAAACAGAGTGTCCTCCGCTTCGCTCCGGACAATAAACAGAAATTGGCACTTTATTTTGAATCAAAAATCTCGAAATTGATTAAAAAGTGTCGAAGACGGGTTTTCCTAGTCCATCGCTCATATAGTTTATATTTAATTAGTCTAACAGCCCGTCCAGTCTCATACCTAGTTGGAACCGGATTTATTTTTTATACACAAAACCGGCTTAACCCAAAATAAAACAGGAATTCTTACTATTATTATTATAGATTTGACCAAAATTCCATTATGTATTTCCGAGTCATAGATAAAATAAAAGTTCGGGCAGGCGGGTCTTTTTTTTTTGTTTTATGTTATGAGAACCAAAAAATTAACATTATATGGCCTAATATTCTTAAACTTTTAAATCTTAGTTATTGCCAATTTATTCTTGTAAAAAGTGTTTTAGACAGATAATATGACATGTTTATCTTGTTTTAATATTTCTGAATAAGGCTCTAAAGCAGGGTTGACATGTTCCTTTATAAATTTATCGACTTGCTGTGGTGCTCTGCCTATAAATGTAGATGGGTCTAATAAAGAATCAATCTATAAAATTAAGCATAGCATAAAAATTACTATTAAATAAATTCAAACTTCAAACATTTAATCACTTAAATAACTTGCAGTATAGATGATATTCCTAAATGTTATATGAATATTCATCACATAGTACCACATAGTTGGTTAATAACCAATCAATTTGGCAATACAAACATGTAGTATTAGAGATTATCACGATACTGCAAGTGCTCCCATAATAATATCACACCTCATCATGAATACACTTAAAATATTCGGTTTTTTTAATCCTCTCGATTAAATCATTCTCCTTTCCTTCTTTAACAGCTTTAGCCGCTAGGTGGCTTAAAACTCGAATATTCTCATGGCATTCTTGCCTGTCGCCTCCCTTTTTAGTAACTGCCATGATTATATTTTCAGTGGCCATGAATGGAAGTTCTTGTGATATGTGGTGTTGAATCACTTGTGGATACACTACCAAACCTTCAGAAATGTTCTGAAGCAAGGATAGGACTATGTCAGTTGTTAAAAATGCTTCAGGAAGAGAGATTCGGCGGTTGGCACTATATATATATATATATATATAAGACGGTACGAATTCAAAACAAAAATTAAAATTAAAAAAAGACGCATTCATTCATTCACAAACAAACCTATCATCTAAAGTTCTTTCAAGCCATTGCACACTATTAGTCATTAAAGCGTCTTGTGCCAAAACCATTAAATGCCTACTTAAACTACAAACCCTTTCACATCTCATGGGATTTCTTTTATATGCCATTGCGCTGCTACCAATTTGATCTTTTTCAAATGGTTCTTCAATTTCTTTAAGATTAGCTAATAATCGAAGATCCGTTGCAATTTTGTGTGCTGTAGCACCAAAAGAGCTTAAAGGATTTAAAATATCAATGTCAACTTTACGAGAGTACGTTTGACCCGTTACGGGATAAAGTATTTTAAACCCAAAAAGTTCGCAGACACGTGCGTCTAGAGCCTCCACCTAAGTAGATAATAATTATAATTAAGTATTTAAAGATGCATTATAAAACACAATCAGATGATATTAATGATGTGAAGACAAACTTTATCATGATCACCATCGAACAAAGATAAAAATGAAGCCTGAGTACCGGTTGTACCTTTAACACCACGAAATCCAATATCATTTCTAGCCCTTGTTATATTTCTCAAATCCCATAACAACTCCTGCATAATTTTTAATATTAAATAAAACCAAATAATAATAATTATTATTATAAATATAAAAAATATTGTCGTGGCTGATGCTGAAATTCGGGATTCCTATTTGTAAATATAAACTCTACTAAATTTTAAAATCTACTTATACAACTCTAGCCACATATCCTAATCTAACCCTAAAAAGCTTAAATTTTATAATAAAATAGACTCAAATATCTCAAATATCAGCACCAGCTTCAGTCGTGATTATTATTATTTAAAAAATAATAATCATCGTTACCTGAATCCAAAGTGTGGCTCGTTTTCCAACGGTAGTTAATTGAGCCGGTTGAAAATGAGTAAATCCCAAAGTTGGTAAACTTTTATATTCATGAGCAAATCTGCTAAGTTGATGGATGACCCTAGCCAATTTATCCAATAATAAGTCAAGACCCTTACGAAGAATTATTAAATCACCATTGTCCGTCACGTAACAACTTGTAGCACCCAAGTGAATGATACCAGCAGCTTTTGGAGCTGCTTGACCAAACGCATACACATGTGCCATTACATCATGACGGCGCCTTTTTTCTTCAATTTTTGCTGTTTCAAAGTCTTCATTTGTTAATGTCTTATTTCAAATAAAAATGATTGATGTTAAAAAAATATATTTTATGCATATGGTTAACAGGAACCAAGATAATTTTTTTAATAAAATTTTTTTAAACTCGATCAAAAATTTAATAAAAAAAATTTTGGATCAAATTTGTTAAATTTTTATCTTTATCAAATTTAAAAATTTCATTGTAAAAAATTTGGTTGGTTTCTATTGATTCACCCCGTAAATAACACTTGTTCTAAATTTTAATACCAAATGAGCCTCCATTTCTTCAATAGCTTCATCAGTTACACCTTTAATTCCTAATTCTTTTTCGGCTTTTGCTAAATTCAGCCACAATTGTCTCCAGATATAAAATCGATTTGCTGGCGAAAAAAGTGCAGCCATTTCTGGAGATGCATATCTTGAAGTTAGGGGACTTTCATATCTGTCATGTATACCAGTAGACATTTTTGTTACTGAGAGCGAATGTTAGATTATCGCTTTTTTTTTAGATTAACGATTATGTTATCAATACCACGTGATGATGTGGCATCTTTTTTTCTACAATTAACCAACCTGAGCGATGATTAAAATCAAACCTTTTTAAATTCGTTGAATGTGTTCAGGTTAGTATATCGATATTGATTGTTGATGCCTGAATATATTTTATGATGATAAGTCTTCATTTGCACGTCAGTCAGAATTTAAACCTGTTGACAAAATTTCTATACCCAAATTTCTGAATATTTACTTATAAATGAGTGTTATATTTATTAATACAAAACTCTAACGGCATTTATTCGTATTTCATTTAGGAAATTTTTTTTATTTTATGTGCTATTCTTATTAGTTATGGCAATAAAAGTGAATGATTTATGCGAATTATTGTTAATATTGAATTAGAGAGAATCTTTAAGAATTTTAATTTTACAATCTTTACGATTCCGAATTTTGCATAACTTTTGATGTAAATTTATTTAAAAAAGAGGAAAAAGCACAATTATTGCCTTACTCTTCAGCTTTGAACATATCTTTGACAATATCAAATGTATTTCTAAAATTTTGAGAGTTTCCACCGTCTGCGGTATTAAAAGCTCTACAATGAGATGTATGAAAATGTAAAATTATTGCAGTCTTAAAATTAAATATTACCTTGACTTTCAGATTTTAAATTCTCATCAAGTTTTTTCTTAAGAAACCCTGATTTTCTTTGCAATGTATTTAATAGTTTTGGTACTGTAATTAAACAGTAATTGAATTCGTTAGATATTTTAAAATGATAGCAATAAAGAACTCAATAAATTTATTTACACAATATCCTCATTTTGTTAATTTCATTAATAACAGGCGCATTTTTTGCAACCAAATTTTGTTGTATGGTTGATTTATTTAACGGTGCAAGAGCTTCGCGAAGATTCTAAAGTAAGATTTATAAGTTTCTTTTTTTTTTAAACATACGATACTTAAAATGATAAAATGATAATATATATAAATTCATACCTTATAGTGTTCACATTTCTCCTTCATTGTAATATAATTTTTTTGAATTTGATTTACACGTGATCGCAAATCAGCGTATCTGAAAACAAGAAATATTTATTAAAAAAAATTTTTTTTATTAGCAATTTTATACGAACTTGTCTAATTCTTCTTGATCATATTCTAAATTTCCAAGTTGTGGCCATTCTTCGGGAAATGATTCGATCCATCTGATTAATATGAAAAAATAAGAAAGTGATCGATACAACAATCGCTTTTTAAAGATTTTGAGAGTTACTTGATATTATTATAATCTTTTTTCTCAACTCTAATGTGCCCTTCTAAAGCGTCTTTACATTTTTGATCGTAGATAAATTGAAGTTGTTCGAGTATTTGACGCATCGATTGGCGATTAAATATTTGTACATGATGTTTCCTATTACTCTGATTTACTTAAAATACAATAATGGTTAATTTAACGCGTCAAATTTGAAAAAATCAAGTGATTAATTACATTTGCTTAAAACGGTGTCAACAACAGCTAAAGGAATTCGTTCTTCCGCTGGTGATTCAGTAACTTTTGATATCCAAGCTTCTGAAGGTGTAATGAATTCTTGCTCAAGCAAACGAATTTGCGATTCTATAAATGCTTGTTTATGATTATAATAACTTTCCATTCCGTCAATAAAGACGCGCTGAAAATCGCACCAATAGATATTTTAATTGTCCAATTACAGAATTAGATTAATTTTTACGTAGGTGATCATCACTTTTTTTGTTAAGCCTAAGTTACATCCTAAATTGAGGTGGCGTTCTTGATGCATCATACTCTCGATAAAATTTTTTTATTTCGGTTCTACGGATCTGTAGAATCAAAAAAATTCATTGAATTTGGTTGGATGTTGCTGAGATATTTTCGCTCAAAATTTTGAAAACATTAAAACGCCTGTCAAAATAACAGTCACGGCAAAATTTTTATAAAATTTTGAACAAAGTTATCTTGGCAACCACTAAACTAAATACGATGAATCATTTTGATTCTACAGATTTGTAGAATCAAATAAATAAAAAAAATTCATCGAATTTGACTGGGTTGTTGTCGAGATATCTTCGTTCAAAGTTCTGAAATCAAAATAACAGCAACAGCAAAATTTTATAAAACTTTGGGTGAAAATATCTCGGCGACCACCCAACCAAAATTTGATGAATTTTTTTTTTTTATTTTGATTTTACAGATTTGTAGAACCAGAATAAAAAAATTCATCAAATTTGGCTAGATGGTTGTCGAGATATCTTCGCTCGAAATTTGAAAAAATCCTCGAAATACAGTTCCTGATGGATTGATCGTTGGTACTTTTTCTGATGGGGTTCCTAAGGGGATTCCGAAACTGATTTCTCATAACAATGCTTAGTTAGAATGGGAATATTAAAGCCATGACCTGTGATTAATCCATAACTTGATCTAATACTGTAATACATTAAGGATATTTGTGCCGAAAAACTTTTACTCAATGACCGAAAGCTAATTGCTGTGTAAGCTATTTTAGAACCCCATTAGGAACAGTGATGGCATATTGTCATTTAAAAAATAAATGACATCTTGTCATATGACAAGTTATCTTTGTCATTTGTCATTTATAGTTTGTATAATTTTTATTAATCAATTTCTAATGCGAAGTACAGGTATACATAGGTGTCTAAATTATGTGTGATTTACGCAGACGGCATGGCGAAATTTTTTTAATATTTTCGACACAGCATTTTAAAATGCTATGTGCCTAAATTATTTCTGGTTGCCAATATGGGATCTTTGCTAGGAAAATCACCCTTCGGGGTTTTCCGATCGGGCTAATTCGGAAAAGCTTAGTCAGTTCTTATTCATATGTAATTCACGTTTTGCTTTATTTATTCGATAGTTTATTAAATAAACTGTCGAATCAGTAAA